GGAGGTGTTAGCCTGGGTCTCATGGTGAAGATCGTATCTCCCATGTGTGTCTGTTGTAAGTTTACTTTATTCACTTAGTATTATTAGATGTGGTAGGGGCATTATTTGAATGTGTGCTAACATCTTTATCCTCTATCTTCTGCCCATTAATTAAAAAAGAAAAAAAAAAACCTATGTTCTTGGTACAGTAAGAAGTGCTGTTCCAAGTAAGAAGTAAAAGAAATAATTCTGTAAGTAATGTAGACAACTCTCCATAATCTGGGTTCTTTTAATTTGGTGTTTCATAGGATAGAAGGCCAATGTACAAATTGAATCATATCTCTGTGTGCTAAAAGTGAGTGTGGGGGAGTGTTCATGTAAGTTTGTGTACATAAGCACTCTGGTACACATGCTGCATATGTGTGCAGAAGCCAGAGTTTGATTTTGGGTGTCTGTTTTGATTGCTGTCCACTTTAGTTTTGACATACAGTCCCGCTGAACTAGAGCTTGTTGATTCAGTTAGCTTGCTAGCTAGTGTACTCCAGGAATCTGCCCCTGCCTCCCCGAATGCTAGGGTTGCATATATGCATAGCCTTGTCCGGCTTTTACATATTTGCTAGAAATCCTTGCTCTGCAGGCATGTTCACAACCATTTCCCAGCCCCTGATTTTTTAAAAGTACCATTTATAATAGCACCATTAAAAGAAATGAAGTATAAATCTTATTTATACATTTATGTAATATTACATGTTACATATAAAATATTACTTAAAGGTTTTGATTCAAATAAATAATGAACAGGTTGCTTCAGACAATGGCAACTCTGCCTGTGACAAAGCACAAGGACATGGCTTGCAAGGTTCTCTTCAAGACTTCTGAGGCCAATCTGAATGGCATGAACTAAAGCTTTTAAATGATGTGCAGACTTTCAGGCTTATTGATCAAATTTTAAAAATGAAACAGTCCTGAAAATAACAAAGCCACAAAAAAGCTTTTTGATGCCATTATGAGTAACAGTAATATTTAATGCACATTTAGAGTATTATTGATTTTTTTTAAAGTTACCTCGTAACTGTTTAAAGTAACTCCAAGATACCATTGCTTTGTTAGTTTTTTCTTTATATTTTTGGTGTAAATTTTTGTGTCTGGGGAACATTTTGCTAATGTTTTTATATAAATCAAAGAAATATACTGTTAATCCAACTCAGGAAATGTTTATAATTGAGCAGCATTGTATCAGAGGAGCTAAGACCAAAACAGCTGAAAGTTTTTGTACTCTTAAGGGAGATACTTCATAATCTACATGATAGCTTTTATGTTTATATAGATAAAAATGCATAGTACGCTGAATGAAGATCTTACTAAGAATGACATAAGCCTGGCATGTACACATACTTGTACTCTCCGCACTCTGGAGATGGAGCAGAGTCAAGGAGATCTCTAATTCAAGGCCAGCAAAGGGTTCTGAAGGAAATGGCTGTCTCAACACAACAACGACATAGCACAATAAATTGTTAAATGCTGTGAGATGTATACAACAAAACAGATTCTTTTACTGAGAATGAATATACTACTCTGTATTCTGTTAAACAAAAGAATAAAAGAAAAATCTAAGCTGTTCCTGAAAAATCCCAGAAGAATGTATGAATCTATACTGTGAGAAGTATATAGTGTAGGAGACAGGATTTGCTTCTTCAACTTTAGAGGAGATCATAAAGAATTAAGTATGTCAGGCTAAAAGTTCAGCCGCTCTTTTTGTAAGTAGTATGATCAAATTAATGTATTTATATTTATATACATACAAATTCACATAGACATATAAAGTAGTTATTTAACAGTGATAATCTTCAGGTAAATAGGCTGGGTTTTCTTTGTATTTCTTTTTTTTTGTTGTTGTTTTATTTTTTTGAGACAGGGTCTCTGTGTAACAGGTCTGGCTGTCCTGAAACTGTCTTTGTAAAACAGGCTGGCCTAAAACTCAGAGATCCTCCTGCCTCTGCCTCCTGAGTGCAGGGATTAAAGGTACGCTGCCATTTCTAGCTTGTGGTTCTTTTTTAAAGTCAGGGGCTCATGTTCCACAGGGTGGTCTCTACTTCACTATGCAGCCTAGTATGAACTTGAACTCCAAATTTTCCCGTCTCCCCCTCCCAAGGGCTGATATTACAGGAGTGTCACTACACCTGGTTTATGTGGGGTTGGGAATCAAACCTGTGGCTTAATGCATGATTGACAAGCAGGCCACCACCTGAGCTACATTCTTAGACCCTGAGTTCTGTTTTTGTTTGGGGGAAGTTAATTAGTCATATTTTTAAATGACTATAAACATATTTGTATATTTAAAACTTTAAAAACCAGTAACAGAAACATCAGTAAACACCTAATTTGAGGCACATAATGCCTCATTGAGCATTATGGTGACCCAGAATATGTACTTCTGTAGTAAGCACGTATTTCCTTTGGATGATGTCTTACCCTGATGGTTGGTTGGTTGGTTGGTTGGTTGGTTGGTTGGTTGGTTGGTTGG